AAGAAGTTCTTACCCTTTGAGACAGCATGGAGGGATCAGGAGAAGTGAAATAAATCAATCAGAGAAAGACAAGTATCACAGGATCTCATTGATATATAGAATCTAATGAACAAAATACACTAACAAAATAGATCCATGACATGGAATAATTCAACAGACTGTGGAATCTCAGAGGGGAGGGTGGGTGGGAAGAGATCAACTAAAGAACATACTTGCATATATGCATAACCCACGGACACAGACAATAGGGTGGTGAAGGCCTGGGGAGGGTTGGGGGCTGAGTGAAAAATGGGGAGAAAAAAGGGGACATATGTAATACTGTCAACAGTAAAAAAGAAAAAAAGAAAGTGAAACTCTTCTTAAGATCAACATGGAATTTGACACAGAACCTACCAGCTTAGCTCACACAGAATAAAATAAAGTGTATATATAAAAGGGCTCCAGAAACGAATAGGGCTTCATATATTTTAATTATTATTAAAAATAAGATGATGAGTGCTCGCTTCGGCAGCACATATACTAAAAATAAGATGATGGAAACAAATTAAAAATTTCCTTAATTAGTTTAATGTGATATTTTAAGAGGGAAGAAATAGGCTTTCTTTCTAATCAGATAGCAGTCCTCAATTACACATGTGGATTGTGTTAATTTCTAAATAGTGTTCTATTTTTTATCCAAAATATATTATCACCAAATTTCAGCTTTTTAAATTCCAAACTCTTTTCTTCCCACTGCATGCAAGCCTCTGACCAAGTCAAATAGCAGACGTCCCTGCCCCGTCTGCGATGCTCGAACGACAGAGGACATCAAGCCACGGCAGTGCGCTCCGCCTAATGAAACCTGCTCCCTTTAATTATTAAAATCAGCAAGAAGCGCTGGCAGTTGAAGTTTTAAAAACCAACAAATAAATGTTTGCGAGGCAGGTGCCAATGCCTTTCATCAAAGCACTGCATCCTGCAATAATTATGTTCCACATAAAAAACCACGCTGTTGCCACAGACCTTCGCCAGGCCTGTGTTTAGCTGCCCTGTCATTTAGGAAATGACCGAGGCCCTTTTCAGAAGCAAAGTGGTTAATAGCATGTGATTACTTAGTAAGGATTCTAAACAAAGCAGCCATGTGAGGACTGCTGACGGGCCCAGGAAAGCAGGAAGCGCAGACGGAAGCAGCACAGCCAGGCCGATGGTCAGAGGACAGAGCTCCTCAGACGAGTGGCCAGACTGTGCCTGGCATCCCCTGGGCCAGGCGGCTGAGCCAGCACAGAGAGGAGGCCTGGCACAGCCTGCACTCCTCCCCTCGGTGCCACCAGAGCAGAGGGTGGCGGCTGGACCCAGGAAAGCACCTCCCCCAGGGGACATCCAGGCGCTGCCAAAGGGAACCGGGAGCACTCACACTTGGGTACCTGGGGTTACTGGAAGCCAAGCCCCTTGCTGGGCCCCTTCCCGTAGGATCCTTCCAGCTCAGGAAAGACCCACCATGGATGCCACCCACACTGCGTACCGCCACCCACACTGCGTACCGCCACCCACCATGGTCTTTGCTCTCGGCTGGCTCCCGTCACGTGGGCTGTAGGTGAATGCCAAGAGCCACAGCAAGGCCTCGGGGGGTTCGGCTCCTGACATCAGTAACTGCTCAGCCACCGCATCAGCCCATCCTCCAAAGTGAACGAACAAAAACCAGCTCTCAAAGGGGCCTCCGCAGGACCTGGAACAGAACCAGACACATGGCAGCCAGGCAACCTGGTTTATTTCCCTTTTGGTTCTTAAGCAACGTAATGTTTGCGAACGGCCTGCTTCACTGTTCTTACCCGCTGAAGCACACGGGAGTACGAGTCAGCCTCAGAAAACCAGCTCCCGGGCTGCCTGCACCCCCAGGGCCCTCACAGGCCTGCCTCAAGGCCCCGTGCCCGAAGAACCCAGACACCGAAGTCCTCCCATCCAGGAACCGTGAGTGAGCCCAGCCCGCGGAGAAGGAAGGTTCTGGCCGTGACAGCAG